CATATGATACTTCTTGTTCTATAATGTATTTTTTCCCTAATTATGGGCATTATTTATGCTAATATATCAATCTACCTTGTACTCCATTGTTTGAATGTAATGATAATTATACATTTTTTGTTAATTTCTTATTGATATTTAGATTATGACCAGTGTTTTACCAATACAATTCTGTAAAATAGCATTTATGTGTATATATTTTTGCCCATTTATGATTATTTTTCTGGGATTTCTACATGTGGAATTATTCAAATATATGCAAATTCTTAATTTTCATAAATATATCCACTTTGTTCTTACACTTTATTTTTTTCTTTTTCTTTTTTTTCTTACACTTTTATTTGTGTGCAATTTATATTTGATATAATTGGGATTTAAGTCTGTCATTGTATTATTTGCTTACTCTGTTACTTCTGTTATTTATTTATTTTTTTGTGTCTATTTCCCTATTCCTGTGTGTTTTCTTGAACATTCTTTGGGATTCCATGTTGAATTATCTCTAGTGTTTATGAGTGTATTTCTAAGCATTACTTTTTTTTCTAGTGGTTGCTCTAGGGATTAAAATATACATACTTAGCTTATCACAGTCTAGTAATATCAGCATTTTACCACTTAAATTAGAATATAGACTCTTTACCACCATTTGGGTCCCTTTACACCTTTATAACATAATTGATTAGATGTTTTTATACATATTCAGAACCTTTATAAAATAAATGTTGCTTTCAAAAGTCAAATATAATTTTAAAAGCTCGAGAAGCAAAGAATACTTTATTGTATTTAGCCGTATGTTTGTATTTTTCTTTACTCTTTCTTCACTCCTGATGTCCTAAGATTTCTGTCATTTCCTTTTTTTTTTTTTTTGTCTTGTTTTCACTACCCTTTTTATTTATGTTTTTTTTCTTCTTTCTTTTTCACCATCCTTTCTTAGTCTTCTGGTGACAAATTATCTTAACTTTCTTTTATCTGAAAATGTTTTATTTCACCCTTATTCCTAAACGGTATTTTCACTTGATACAGTGTTGTGGGTTGGGCAGGCCTTTTTCCTCAGCATTGAAAACTAGTCTGATACTTCCTTCTGGCCTCTGTGGTTTCTGGAGAGCGATTTGGTGTTCTTTTCTCGCCAGCTAGCTGGTTTCTGGCTTTTTTCTGTGTCTCCAGTTTTCAGAAGTTTGAATGTAATGTGTCTGGGTGTAGATTTCTTTGAGATTATCCTCTCTGGGATATGTTGAGCTCCTTGAACCTGTAGGGTCATGTCTTAAGAAAATTTGGGAAAGTTTTCAGTCATTACTCATTTAAATATTTTTTCAGCCCCACATTCTTTTTCTCATTTTGGGGGGACTCTGATGGCATGCATGTTATATCTTCTTTCACTGTCTCATAGGTCCTTGAGGTTCCTATCATTTGTAACAATCTATTTTTCCTGGTTGTTCATAATTTCTATTGACTTAAATTCCAATTCACCAATTTCTTTCCCATTTGCGTTCTGCTATTGATCTTTTCCTATGAAGGGTTTTTTTTTTTTTTTTTAATTTCAAAATTTCTGTTGTTTTTCCTCATATTTTTTATTTCTTTGATAAGGCATTCTATTTTTTATTTGTTTCAAAGAATATTCATAGTTGCTTCCTGGAGCATTTTTATGACATCTGCTTTAGATTTCTTAACTAAAAATTCTAAATTCCCTGTCATTTTGGCACTGTACTCTGTTGACTGTGTTTTCTCATTGAAATTTAGATTTTCCTGGTTTTTGCATGATGGGTAATTTTGGACAGTTTCCTGGACATCTTTAGTGTTATGTTGTATGACTGATTGCTAATTAAATTTTTTATTTTAGCAAGTAGTCAACCTGTTTAGATTCAGAGTGCACATCCTGGCTCACTTTTGTGGGCTGTGCTTCATATGTTAATTTGGTTTATAAAGCCTGTGCAATGCTACTCTGCTCTGTCACTCCTTTGTTGTCCCATGATAAGACTTGATCCCCCAGTGTCCTTAGCACTAGCTGAGGAGGGGGAGGTGTACTGCTTCATCCCTGCATGGGTCGAGTGTGGAAATAAGACTTCCTCCAACAGGTTCTACTAATGCAGAAAGCACTTCCTCTTTATTGCAGGAGGTTGATAGAAGTCACAATTCTGCCCACTGACTCCACTGGGCAGAGAAACTGCCCTGTTTACTTCAGGACAGTCACAGAAGTCAGACTTTCACCCTCAGGCCCTGTATGGGAAGGGCATCACCTGTTACTGGGCTGAAGGTGGGGGAGTGCTGTTAGGGTTCTATCCTAATCTATATAATTATGTTCATTCAGATATGGGCTGAAATCTCTGTCCGCTGATTGCTCCTTCCTTGATCTTTTGTAATTGTGATTGATGCTATTAATTAAAAAAAAAAACAAATTTTTTAATGTTTATTTATTTTTGAGAGAGAGACAGAGCATGAGCAGGGGAGGGGTAGAGAGAGAGGGAGACACAGAATCCGAAGCAGGCTCCAGGCTCCCAGCTGTCAGCACAGAGACCCACTCGGGGCTTGAAATCATGAACCACGAGATCATGACCTGAGTCAAAGTCATATGCTTAACCGACCCTGCCACCCAAGCCCCCCCAAAAATATTTTTTATTATCCCTTTAGCATGGTCTTAGGAGGCAGAGGATATAAATATATGTAGCCATTTAGTTATCTTGACCTAGAATTCAAGTGTGGAAAATATTAAAATTTGAACATGACTATATTCTAAAGTAACTTTGTAATGTATATTTATACTAATAAAGGAAGCATCCTTCTTCATAAATGTGCTAAGTAATTAAACATTTTGATGGTCATTTCAAATTATGTGGTGCTAACACAGTAAACTAAGTAAAAACTGCCCCATGTACATCTTTTACATGCAGGTAAGAAAAAAAAGTGTAAAAATGTTTCAGTGGTGGGCACCTGGGTGGCTCAGTTGGTTGAGCACCCAACTCTTGATTTCGGGTCAGGTCATGATCCAAGGGCAGTGGGTTTGAGCCCCTCATTGGGTTCCATGCTGAGCATGGAGCCTGCTTAAGATTCTCTCTCTCTCTCCCCTTCTCTCTCTCTCTCTCTCTCTCTCTCCCTCTACCTCTCCCCTGTGCGCTCTCTCATGTTCTCTTTCTCTCTAAAATAAAATTTCAAAAATTTCAGTGTTCTAAGATAAAGTCTCAAATAAATAAAGTCAATGTTCTATGATGAGGTCTCATATATATAATATTTATATGTAACATTTATATTTACATATATAACATTTAATTTCTTCATAAACTTTAAGGAAGCCATCAACCAAATTTTAATATGAAAGAATCAAAAAACTCCCAGGAAAATTGTTATAAGTCTAGTCAAAGTGTCTTTTTAAGTGTAATACTGAACACTTATCCCTGTGTATTTTTCATAATAGCTTTTCTGAGATGCAATTCATGTACCATGCAGTTCGATCTATTTAGACTATACAGTTCAATGGTGTTTAGGAATGAAAGCATTCTCAATCGAAATATATTATTGATCAGCTGTAAGTAGATGATACTCATTGAACTGGTTTAGCTTAAGTGCTTATGTCTGCTTTAAAACATTTCTTTCGTGGGGACCCAGTTGGTTCATTCAAAATTGTTCTCATATTACTAGGTTTCATTGTGGTAAAATATATGTACCATAATATTTGGCATTTTGAATGTTATAAATGCACAATTCAGAGGCATTAAGTATTCTTACAATGCTGTACAACCATCACCACTATCTATTTCCACAACTTTTTCATCATCCCAACTGGAAACTCTGTACCCCTTAAACAATAATCTTTCATTCCCCTCCACCCCCAGCCCCTGGGAACTTCAAGTATGCCTTTTGTCTCTGTCAGTTTGCTTTTTTCCAAATATGTCATACAAATAGGATTACAAAATATTTGTCCTTTTGTCTCCGGCTTATTTCGTTGTGTATTCTTTTGGGTCATGTCATTTGAAATTAGGAGAGGGAGTGGCTATACACCTAAGTTTTAATCCTGTCTTGCCCTATATGACCCGTTAGAGAAGAAAGAAAGACATGAAATCACTAAATACGGCAATATGAATTCAGAGTTACTCATCCCATACAAAGAAATCATGCCCCTATTGCCCCTATGTACTGGGAAAACTAGTGTTTTTTGAATCTTTAGTTCAAATGTCACCTTCTTGTGAAGACTGCACAAGCAATATTTGTCACACTTGCTTTTCTGGTCCTAGAGCACCATGAAAATATTGTTTTATGTTATTTGCATATATGTCTCCTGTCACTAGACTCTAAGCAATTCACTGCTGTAGGCCAGGTGTTAATGCAGACTTGGGGTTCACAATGCCTGCATCACTGCTGAAAATACTTCTTGGGCAAAAGAATAAATTCATAATAAAATTTTGCATGTAAAACCAAAGTTTAAAAAATATTTGAGTTCATAACCATTAAAGTTACCATTTGTCCCAAACTTTTAACTGTGAAATAATATGCATACAGGTAAATATATAATCATTTTATTAAAGTGTTAACTAACTTCATGTTAAAAATTAGATCTTTAATTAGGAGTAAAAAGGATTCTGGTAATTGGAAGTTTAAAGTCACTGAGTCTATCAGAGTGAACAATAATTACTTATACTTGGAGAATTTGTGTTATGATTATGTTGTTATTTAATTATGACCAAACTTATCCATGGTTGTTTAATGTTTTGGTTCTGCTGTTTGAAACACTTTGATTTACTGCATTATATAGGATGGGCACCCAAGAATGTGTTTATAAGGTTTCATCAATAATGACTGTTGATATAGATAAATAAAATAAAATAAATTAAATTAAATAAAACAGCTGAAATTCTCAGCCACAGTAGTATTGAAAACCAGCACACCAGTCTTTAGATGTAAGAAGGTAAGTTAAAATTATGAAAGAGTAAATAATAACATCAGTAGTACACAATAATATATGAGAAAAAATAATGTAAATCACTAACTGTACATTCCTTTCTTCTCATTTTTAGGGTTGTTGGAGAAAGATAACTATTGATGACTTTCTGCCTTTTGATGAAGACAACAATCTATTGCTTCCGGCCACAACATATGACTTTGAACTCTGGCCAATGCTTTTGTGTAAAGCTATCATTAAGCTGGCAAATGTTGAGTATGTAGAAGGAAGAACAATCACTCGCATAAAAACAAAAAGACAAACAACAAAAACCTATACATCTATATCACATAGCTTCATTTAAAAAAAATCTATTTAAAATAGCTTTCTTTCCAGACACTGTAAACGTTTTGATATAAAAATACCAAAACCACTAATTTGAAAAATTGGGTTACCCAGCAATAAGACAAAATTCTCCCAAGGAAAAATACTCAAAAATTATTCTATATCCAGTGCTTTCTTACGATGAATAGAAGGTGATCATGAAAAATAGTGCTTCACCTCAGCAGGAGAAAAAGGTGGTTTTTGTACGGGGAAGTACTGGTTCATCTAAATAGCGAATCATGTACACTGGAATCCAGTTAAAGTTTTAGGTTCTGTACATGCAGCAATAATTTATAATCTTGAAAACCTGAGCTCTTCTGAAGGATAACAATGTTTTTGATATGCTCCTCAGGATTTTGGTAACACTGCTCCCTTTTAATACATTTGTGATAAAAACTTCTTCCATTTGCTTCAATATTCTTGTGAAATCTGCGTATGTCTTCCATGCTTGCATGTCTTGTGCATCAACATGTATGAGATGTGTCTGCCACATACATTCATCCTCTTGGCTCCCACCTACAGAGACCTTAGGTCAACGTATCCCCGCCCTAGCCATGCAAAAAGAATCTTAGATGCTTGAGTTGCAAAGGCCTGGCAACTTTGTATCATTGCTCGGTGGGGGGGATTCTCACCTATACTGAGCCACCTTGAATTTGATACCCTTCTCTCTCCTGCAGGGTGTGACAGCATCTCATTGTCAGCAGATTGCCCTTGGGCTCCAACAGACCACTGCAACCCTTTGCTCAGCCTCCTCCCCTTCTGTAAACAGAGCTCTGTCCATCAGAAGGGCACTCCATTTTGGTTTTTTTGTCTGGATTTTCCTTTGGCTCAGCTTCCTTTGTTCTTTCCCAAGGCTACACAGTAAAACCAGCCACTCCACTGACATCCTAGACAGATCTCTTTTCTCTCACCAACCTTCGATCTTCTGTTCAGAATTTGTTTCACCAAGCTCACAACTCTTAATTTCAATGATTAAAAAAAAAAAACAAAAAACTCAGCCCAGATCTTTTAAAGTAGCTGAATAGAACTGAGTATTCACGCTGGTGACAACCGCTGTTTGTTTGTTTTGAAAGAAAATGATGTTCCTAATGTTCCTAATTCTCAGACCTAACTTGAAGTACTGAGAACTGGAGCTGAATTAATGCCAGTGAAGTGCTAAATGGGTGACCTGGAAAATTGGAGTGGTATTTTGCCTTTCTTAAAGCTATAGTTCCATAGAATTTTAGAGCCTCCTAAGAAATAGAACTATTGCTATTTTAAAAAATAAATCCAGCTTAGAAATAAAGGACCAGACTAAATGTAAGACATTTTTTAGGCATTATAGTGGCTACCTGTATACTTGTGGTACAATTTATACTTGTCTCTGCATTTTTTCTCAAATTTTATAGTATATAGCAATTATTTTAATATGAGTTTTAGCTTTCTACATTAAAAATTTAACGTGTAGTAAGTATTTCACTATCACTGTGCGCTACGCAAAGGAAAGGACCCTCTTCACATGAGGTATGCAGTCACTTCCTAAATATGATTATTCATAGTTTAGACTGTGAACTTTCCCAGGAGAATTCTGGTATCTGTGACATGTGTAGGTACATCAAAATTCATAACGTCTGAGCAACAAACCAATAAAAGTTTGTAAATGTTAGAACATGTGACTAAGATAGTAAGATTTCTTTCTGAAGAAAAGAACACGTCTGGTCAATATCATTAATCCCCTCCGTTGGCACGTGGTAAACTGCCAGTGTGACTCCTGGCCAGAACAGGGCTGTGGCATTTCTGTGTCTCAGTGCAAATAGACCAATCACTTTGGGGGAAAAAGGGACTAAAATGAGCAGAGTGGTATTGGGTCATCACACTCTCCTCTGACTTCATGCTACAGTGGCAGATCTACTCATTTGTATCGGATAGAAGAGATATTTGTCATCTCTCTGAGATTATCTAAGGACTAAATTAGGGCTATCTGATGTAGCCTTGACCTGCTATGTATGAGACTGATTTAGTACCCAGCCTCATGGGCATCCTGGAATAGGAGCTAACATCGGAAATATAAAAAGATATGGTTCTATTTTGTAAAGAATATGATAGTATATTGAATATATACAATGTATATCATCTAAATTTATATATTTTATAACATATATTTGAATATGCTTTGTGTATATGACATGAATGTTAACTTACATCTTTTTAAAACAAGGCGTATAGTGTGTTTTTAAAATAAACATGAACTTTTAGATTGGATTCCTTTAAGCGCTTTAACAAAATGAATCATCTGGCTGTTGGAATAGTATTTTCTTCTACTCTAACATATAAGCCATATGACCCCTACATTTATTATTATATCACTGCTTACTAAAGATTCTCGGTGCTTATATATCTCTTTGTGTATGTTTTCAAATGTTATTAACTATGCTATTGTGCATTTGCTTTTTTAGCATCCATGTAGCCGAGAGGAGAGAATTAGGGGAGTTCACGGTGATTCATGCGCTTACCGGATGGTTACCAGAAGTGATTCCTCTCCAGTAGGTTTTACCATTAAGTTCTTCATATGTATTTTTCTTTCTGTCCCAGTAATGTTTCTTTAACTAAAGTATTATTAAGCTTTCAGAAAATATAAAGAAAATCTCATATTTTACAAAATGTTTGTGAAAATAATGTTTTAGTGTATTAATATTTTATAGTATTATATAAACTTCCTTGAGAATTTCAGGATAAATTCTGTTTTTAAAAGAATACTGTGAATTTAATATATAAATATATGAATTACAAATATTAAAACCATGTTATTTATCATGTTTACAGGTGTCCCTTTATACTTATACAACTACTAACCTTACTTAATACAGAAACATATGGGGGCCCTAGGTGGCTCAGTAGGTTAAGCATCCACCTCTTGATTTCAGCTGAGGTCACGATCTCACGGTTTGTAAGATCAAGTCCCTTATTAGGCTTTGTGCTGACATCACAGAGCCTGCTTGGGATTCTCTCGATCCCTCTCTCTCTCAATTATACTATAAAATTTCAATTTTATGTATACATATAATTTTAAATGAAAAGAATAGCCCTCTCTAGCCCATAAAGGCAACTTGTAATTAGCCACATATATTAGGAAATAATTAATAGTAATAAAATACCTGTTAGGCATTAGGAACACTAATATATTATTTCTAATTAAAAATCACAATCCTGAAAATATTATCTCATATAATCATTCATATGACCTCATTAGCTGGATATATGTTATTACAAATGAAGAAACTGAAGCCCAGAGTGGTCAAATACCCCAAAGCTGTGTACATTGTACCTGGAGGAGAAAAAAATACAAATCTAAGTCTTGTTGGGTCCAAAGCCCACAGTCTTTCTTTCCTGTGATTCTAAATATTTGTCTATGTCCAAACAAGAGAGGCCATTTAATGTAATGCTTACTAAAAATTTCACAAGTACTTTTATTTCATACATAAAGGTTATAGACACACAATTTGGTTATATTATCATTAATAGTAGAAATTAATCAAGTCAGGGGCGCCTGAGTGGCTCAGTCGGTTAAGTGCCTGACTTTGGCTCAGGTCATGATCTTGTGGTTCATGAGTTTTTGCCCCACATCGGGCTCTGTGCTGACAGCTCAGAACCTGGAGCCTGCTTAGGATTCTGTGTCTCCCTCTCTCTCTGCCCCTCCCCTGCTCACACTCTGTCTCTCTCTGTCTCCAAAAATAAATAAATGTTAAAAAGAAAAAAAAAAAGAAATTAATCAGGTCAAAGTGCATAGAAAAACATTACATTGATACATCTGAACATATCATCAATTCAGATGTTGTATTTTATAAGAAGATCAAATACATAGTTCAGTTATCAGTTTGGATCATCTCTGATCTTTGACTGATATTGGGAAGCTACTGTTCTCAAAGGGTCCAGGTTAGAGGAGATTGAATTTGGTCCCTAGTAACTTGGATCTTACCATCTAAAGCATCATTTCAGCAGGATAAATTAGCTATTGCTTGGTTCAAATAAAAATATCTGCAGGGAAAAAGTGGATGTATAGATCCCTTCCTCAAAGGACTACTTTCCTGAAAGGGGAGATAATCTTATTATTATTTTTTTAATCTTAAGGAAAGATCTAGACAATACTCTTTTGGGTCGTCTCATGGAAAATCCTTTTTTTGATACCTAATAAAACAGAATATTTCTTGACATTATATGGACAATATTAATGGAGAGAGGTAGAGACAGAATGAGGTGTAAAAGTATGGGCTTTTCTAAATTTTTATCTTCAGTGTTGATAGAATGTTTATAATTTTGCTTAATTTTTCCTGCATGGAAGTGAATAAAGATAGCAGGGACATGAAATCATCAGAAGTCCATTGGAGACCAGTACAGAAATAGGAGATTAAAATCATTCACAACTAGAAAATTAGTCAAAAGAATCGTGAATTGTCTCTTGCCAGAATCATACACTGAAATCATATATGAAAATTGAAAAGTATTCATCTATTTTCAGAATTATAAGGAGACCACTTTAAAATTAATAAAAATGTTGAGCAATTTTAGATGTCCAATTTGCATGAATTTATGGGTGCTCATTTCTATGAAAATGAGGCAGAAAAGCTTGAGCTCAGGAATCAGAACTATTATACCTAGGTTTATGTACCTACACTTTCAATTTCAAGCTATGTGAATTTTGCAAGTAATATATCTTTCTTTATACGTAAAATGAGAGTAAAATGACCTATCCAATATGGTTGTTCTTAAGATAAGTGAGTAGGTGATAGAAAAAATACTAATGTATTGAAGAGACATAATTACTATAAGTTTCTTTCCCTGTCTAGTGACTGTCACTAGATTATTTAATATTATCTAGAAAGATATATGGTAGTTGGTACTCAATCTTTGCAAATGGGGAAAAGTCTAAAGAAGAGTGAGACTGACCCAAACATTCAAATTTATCAATTTTCTCCTAAATACAACTGAAAAGTAAAAGATATACACTATCTCTGATGTATGTATGTCACAATTTGAAGAGTATTTTCCTATGAACATTCTGCTGCATTATTCATATAATTTTAAATTACAATTATGCAATAAAATTTCAATTTTATGTATACATATATAATTTTAAATGAAAAGAATGTCATGAAATAGTATAAAAAAGAGTGTCAAGAAACGTTTAAGTTGAAATATGGAAGCAATGGCCATCAGCCCAGGATGCTGGTAGGGGTCAGATAGGGCCTCGTGGAGTGTTCTGAGTTGGTCTGAGCCTTTACCGTTGGCTGGATTTGATTGAAGGAGAGGAAGGAGAGGGGCATCGAAGGCGGGAGAATGATACTGTCAGAGACACATGGTATGTTCAGGAGTAGAATATTTCTGTTGCTAGGAAGGATTTGAGTGTGAAGAGAAAGACTCTGAGGGCCTTGCAGTCACATTCATGGTTTTCCATGGTTGTACATGGTCAAGGAGAACTAGTGTTGACTACTGGAACTTTTCCCATGTGAAAATCAGCTAGGAGGAAAGTGTTTTGTGGCATTTCCAACAGACACCTTCCCTTCCACTCTCCTGAGGGAGTACCAAAAGGAGGCACTGGTCTACGTGCAATTATTGGCCTTGCCTCTTATGTTTTCCTTCCACTCGTGCAGTTTTACCATCTGAAAAGAAAAAAAGAAACCTTTTAACTCTCCATATAATAATAGGAACATAATCAATGACATGTCTGAGAGGATGTAAGAAGACAATTTCAAATGAGAATATTTGTTTCTTGGCACATTTCTCTGATATCGGTGTAATTCATCTGGAATAGAACACTTTGCCACCTCGCTTCTTTAAGCTGAAATCTGATTGACATATAATTTCCTATTAGTTTCAGGCATACATTATGGTGATTCAACATTTTTACACATTACTAAGTGGTCCCCATGATGTCTAGTTACCATCTGTTATGATATAGTTGTGACAATATCATTGACTATATCCTCTATGCTGTACAGTGCATCACCATGACTTATTTTTATAACTGGGAATTTCTACTTAATCCCTTCACCTACTTCATCCAACCCCTAATGCCTCCGCCTCTGATAGCTAACAGTTTATTTCCTGTATCTACATGTCTGTTTCTGTTTTCTTTTGTTTGTTTTGTGTTTTAGATTCTACATGTACATACATACAGTTTTTGTCTTTCTCTGACTTATTACCTTTAACATAATACCCTCTAGATCCATCATGTTGTGCACAAATGGAAGGATTTTTATCTTTTCTTATTGACTAAGTAATATTCCGTTGTATATATATGTCACACCTTTCTTATCCATATCTTGGATCTTGTACATAATGCACAATAAACACAGGGGTGCACATATCTCTTCATATTGGTGTTTTCCTTTTATTCAGATAACCCAGAATTGGAATTTCTGGATTGTATGATAGTTCTTTTTAAAAATATTTTGAAGAAATTCCATACTGTTTTCCATAGTGACTGCACCAGCTTACAATCTCACCAAGAGTGCATAAAGTTTCCTTTTTTTCCACGTCCTCACCACAACTGTACTTTTATTTTATTTTTTTTATAACAGTCATTCTAACAGTTATGAAGTAAAATCTCATTGTGGTTTTTGTTTACATTTACATGATGATTAGTGATGCTGAATATCTTTTAATGTACCTATGTCTTTTTTTTTTGGGGGGGGCAGAATTGTCCAGTTAGATCCTCTATCCATTTATTAATTGAACAGTTTGGGTTTTGATGGTTTGTTTGTTGCTTTTGAGGTATATGAGTACTTCATATATTTTTAACTCCCTATGAGATATAAGATTTGAAAATATTTTCTTGGGTGGCTCGGTGACTCAGTTGGTTAAGCATTTGACCTCGGTTCAGGTCATAATCTCACAGCTTGTGAGTTTGAGCCCCGTTTCAGGCTCTGTGCTGACAGCTTAGAGCCTGGAGCCTGCTTTGGATTCTGTGTCTCCCTCTTTCTCTGTCCCTCCCCTGCTCATGTTCTTTCTCTCTTTCTCAAAAATAAATACATATTAAAAAAAAACTAAGAATATTTTTTTCCATTCAATAGATTGCCTTTTCATTCTGTTGGTCATTTCTTTTGCTGTGCAGAAGCTTTCCAGTTTGATACAGTCCCACTTATTCGTTTTTACATTTGTTGCCCTTGTCTTTGGAGTCAAATCCAAACAAAAACAAAAACGACAATGTCAAGACCAATGTCAAGATGCCTATGTTTTCTCTAGGAGTTTTGTGGTTTTAGGTCTTACATTCAAGTCTTTAATCCATTATGAGTTGATTTTTGTGTATGGTGTAAGATAGTGATCCAATTTCATTCTTTGGCATGTGGCTATCCAATTCTTCCAACACCATTTCTTGAAGAGACTATCTTTTTCACATGGTGTATTCTTGTCTCTGTTGTCATAAGTTAATTGACTATACATGTGGGTTTATTTTTTCACTGTCTATTGTGTTCCATTGATCTAAGTGTCTGTATGTCAATAGCATATTGTTTGATCATTATAGACTTAGAACGTAGTTTGAAATCAGGAAGTGTGATGACTCCAGCTTTGTTCTGTCTCCAGTTGCTCTGGCTATTCAGAGTTTTTTGCTGTTCCACACAGTTTTTAAGATGATCCCTACTTATGTGAAAAATGTTACAACTTGAAAGGGATTGCATCAAATGATTTTGGGTAGTGTGGACATTTTAACAATCTTAATTCTTCCAATCCATGAGCACAGAATGTCTTCCCATTTATTTGAGCTTTCTTCAATTTCTTTTATTAATGTCCTACAGTTTTCAGTGTACAAGTCTTTCAGCTCATTGGGTAAATTTATTCCTAGATGTTTCATTATTTTTGATGCAGTTGTAAATGGGATTGTTTTATTTGTCTTTCTGATGCAACATATTTTGTATATTGATTTTGTATACTGCAACTTAACCTAAGTCATCTATTAGTTCTAACAGTTTTAGGTTGTATCTTTTGGATTTTCTACATATATTAAGTCATCCGTAAATAGTGACAATTTTACTTCTTCCTGTCCAATTTGTATGCCTTTTATTTCTCTTGTCTACTTGTTCTGGTCAAGACTGGCAATACTATGTTGAATGAAAGTGGTGAGAGGTAGCATCCTTGTCTTGTTCCTGACCTTGAGGAAAAGATATATTTTTCATTATTATGTTGAGGTATGTTCTCTCTAAACCCACTTTGTTGAGAACTTTTACCATAAATGGACGTTGTACTTTGTCAAATGCTTTTTCTGCACCTATTGAGATGACCTTATGGTTTTTATCATTCATTTCATTAGTTTGGTGTATGACACAGCTTTGCAAATGTTGAACCATCCTCACACACATCCCTGGGATTAATCTCACTTGTTCATGCTGTATTATTCTTCTAATGTATTGTTAAATTTGATTTGCTAATATTTTGTTGAGGATTTTTGCATCTATGTTCTTCAGAAATTTTGGTCAGTAATTTCCTTTACTTGTGGTGTCCTTGTCTGGTTTTGGTATCAAAGTAATGATGGCCTTGTAAGATGAATTAGAATGTGTTCCTTCTATTTTTTTCACAAGAGTTTGAGAAGAATTGGCATTCATTATTCTTTAAATGTTGGTAGAATTCACCAGTGAAGCCATCTCATCCTGGAATTTTGTTTGTTGGGATTGTTTTGATTACTGATTCAATCACCTGCCTAGCAATTGGTCTGTCCAGATTTTTTATTTCTTTATGATTCACTCTTGGTAGGTTGCACATTTCTAGGAATTTATCGATTTCTTCTAGGTTGTCTGACTTGTTGTCATATAATTATTTACAGATTGTGTTGTGATCCTTTGTATTTCTGTAGTATCAGTTTTTATTTGAGTCTTTTCTTTTTCTTGGTGAGTCTAGCTAAAGATATTTCAATGTTGTCCATCTGTTCAAAAAACCAGTTCTAAGTTTCATTGATTTTTTTTCTATTGTATTGTTAGGCTCTATTTCATTGATTTCCACTCTGATCTTTGTTATTTTCATCTTTTTATTAGTTTTGTGTTTTGTTTGTTCTTCTTTTCTAGTTCTTGAGGTATAAAATTAAATTGAGATATTTCTTGTTTCTTGAAATAGGCATTTATTGCTATGAACTTCCCTCTTGGGGTAACTTTTGCTGCATCGGTATGGTTTGTTTTTTTGTTTTTTTTCTAATTCAGCAGATGTATAGGAGTCACTCAGCTAGGGTTTTTTTTTGTGTGTTGTTTTTTTTGTTTTTGTTTTTGTTTTCCAGAGGAAGTTGTTCCATATGTAGTTATAGGTTTGGTGTGTCATGGGAATTGCTAAGTTCAGAATCTTACACCACTATTTGGAACCAGAACTCTGTTCGGTCTCTTTGCATCAGCAAAGCCCAGCACACAGTAGGTACTCAATCAAAGCATGTTGGATGGATAAATGTATCTATTTGAAGTAACTATTGAAATTTGAAGTAACTATTGAAATTAGTCTTGTGAAATTGTCAATTGATTTTTCTGTCAGTAATTTCTTGATGATCAATAGTGGAGTAAAAAGTTCAATTTGGAAATTAATGTTGGTGTGTTTTATTTAAGCCCAGGATATACGGACAAAGTTTGGGAGCTCTTGAAAGAAATATTGCCTGAGTTTAAGCTGTCAGATGAGGCCAGCTCTGAAAGCAAAACATCTGTTGTAGATACCAAATTAAAAGAGGCAGGGAAAGAAGTGAAGAATGGCAAAGAAATGAAAGATGGCAAAGAATTCAAACTTGACACTTCAGTGACAGCATTAAAGGCACCTGAGAAAAGTGACAAAGTTCCAAAGGGTAAGAGATTTTCTATTACAATGCCATTCAACATGACTGTTATATATAAATGCTTTACAATCATTGCTGAATTTAATGACTTTTTATTGTCATTGTCATTTACTAAGTGTTATGTAAATAATTACGATCCTTTCTTTGTAGAATTTTAGGACTAGTAATGCTGTTTACTATATGGTAGTTATTGTTCCATATTTTACTGTCTTAGAAATCAAAGGCAACTATATATTTTGATGATACTGATAGTATAGTGTTAATATAGGAAGAGACATTAAGTTTTTAATTTCCATCAAACTCATCTACCTTATATGTTATATGTAGAGTGGAATGGACCAAAACAACAAAAGAGAAAGTTGTCCTGTTTTTGTCTTTATTGCCCCCACCAAGAAAATGTGAAATAGACACAGATTATGATTACCTGACCATTTATTGCAAGGTAGAAGTTCAAATTTTAAAATAAAATAATTTCAAGTTATTTTATAAAGTATAAGATCATAAAATAAGAAATATATTGAATAATTATTTATTTTATATTTTCTAAAATATTTCACATAGCTATGCATATGAGCAACAAAGCTTTTACAGTAAAGTAGGATTAGATATTCTAGAATATACTTAGCTTTTTTTATATACCTTGATAGCCTTTATAATGATATTTCAAATAATTGTTTTATAAAATATTGACAATTTGTCCAAATTATTCCTTATCAAGATTTTATCTACCAACATTTACCACAGAGAAACTATTACTATAAATGTTCCTTAAAAACATACCAAGATCAAGTATGTGAGTGATATCTGCTTATCATAAGCCCTTCTTTAAATGACCTAGTGTGCATTAGTTTGTGAAAGAAAGCAAACCAAGAAAGCTGATTAAATTTGTTTCATGCAATATTTCTCCAGTTGATTTGAACTTAGAAGACTTTTTGCATGTATCACAAATTAACAACTGTCCATCCATCCATTAAAATCTACTACTTGCTGAGTAGAATAACAATAAATGTTCCAAGAGTTAGTGATAACTCGGTGAAGAAAATCAGATGTGGAACTTAGCTCCTAGCATTTATGATCTAGTGAGAGAGACTAATGTTAATTAAAAAACAAACAAACAAACAACTATAACCATATACTTGGACATGAGACCTGAAGGGAAATTCAGAAAACTACAGGAATTCATATTTAGTCTAGGGCATCAGGGTAAAATTCTCTAAGTAATTTTGAGCTAGGTTTGCAAAGATGAGAGGGATTTCTTGAGAAAGATGAAGGTATGTGGAGAGAAGAGTATTCTACGCGGAGGAAACAGCAGATAGAGAGCTTATGATATAGTAGGAGGAATAAAAATACTAGCTTTATTCTAAAATGAGAAAATTAGCCAGAATTATATATAATATATAATTATATATATTAATTAATATGTATAATGTAAATTATATTCAAATGATCATCTCCACTTAATACAAAATTATGTGTAGTCAATAATAAATAATTCTGCATGTCTTTGACAGTGCATTGTCAATTTTCAGTTTTCTCTTCCTTTATTTTGATGTTTCTAATTAGAGATGAGTAGTGTTTTGGGAAATTTATGGCTATTGTTTTATATTTAAATAACACTACTGTTTTGGCCTCCTTTCCAACATAATAACTGAGTAAGTAATATAGTTTGAGGTTTTATAGTTAGCAGATTTATTATATATATTTTTAATGTGTTAGAAAAAGCAGATGCAAAAGACCTTGGGAAGAAGAAGAGTAAAAATGGAGACAAAGAAAAGGAAAAGGAAAAATTCAAATGGTCACTTCATGGTTCAAGACCCTCATCAGATGTACAATACTCGCTGCAGTCTCTGTCAGATTGTAAGCTTTCAGTCTTCCAGAATAATACCTATTTTAGCTGTTTCCTGAAATGTTGGAAAATTTTGAATTGTAAAAAGTTGTAATACAATGTAGGAATACAAAAATGTGGTTCCTGTTCAATCATATCTAAATAAGCTTGTTCCAGTTTGCCCATAATTGTTAAACTCTCAAATTGGTATGCATATTGGGCAAAGTCTTACATATGCAACAGAGGCCAAGTTTGTCCAAGTTTTTATGGTACAACAGTCATAGAAGGGTTTGCAAGGAGAGAGACATATACTAATAAATAAATGTATATGTTATATATTAACATATCACAAATAATGTTATATATTGTTATATATAGTATAATATATAAAATTTATTATACTATATAAGATATAATATATGACACATATTATATAAGATCCATAAATACCAATGTATAATTATATAAACTATACAAATATAAAACATTTATATAAATATAAAATATAATTATATATTAGTGTATATAAATATGTATTAGTATATGTCTAGTATATGTCTCCTTCTGTATAAATTATATATATGTGTGTGTGTGTG